AGGCCAGTGAAAATCGTTTTTCAAAATCTCTTTCCTAACCTCAAATATTGGGAAAATGAGATTAATTAATTAATTAATTAAAATGCTTAAATTGTATGTTAAATTTACTTTTGACGTATTTCCGGTATTTGTCGATGGCGCGAAAGATTGTTTGGAAAAGCACCCTACACTAATAGCACAGCTGTGCTAATAGGTAGGCCTTGGAAAATGAAACAAATGAAACACGATGCATTATAAAATAATAACAGCAGTAATTTGTGAATTATTCTGCTGTGTTTACATTCAGAAAGTGCAGTTTTTTGAATTTGTAATCTTTTCTAAAATGCCGATTTCTAACCAAGAAGCAAGAAGCGGTTCCCGAGATATGGCCGAGCAACAGTCTTATTATGGGCACCCGGTACATATAGATAGATCGTTACATGACCTTTCGGGAAGTACTGATCAGTTAATAGAAAATGCGCTGTAGCAATGGCTATAGTTACTCGCCTTAAGGCGAAAACCTTTTTTCATTTTTTATTATAAGGTTTAAGTACAACACTTTATTAGGGAGAGTTTTAGAACTATTGAGGGACTGTGCAGAGTTATAGTAAAAACATACAAGGCTACGCAAGAACATTTGTTCTGTATTTAGTCGCCTGGCTAAACGGTAGGTACTACCGTAAATATTCAGAACTCTTGAAGGCTATCTGGAACTCTAATCAGCGGTCAAAAACTGACTAAATATTCCTTTTTTGTGAATTGTGTAATGGGCCCGCAGAATTGATCAATCCATCAGAGACAATACACATCTTAGAATTTTTGTGTAAGATTGATAACCTTTATAGATAGGTACAGGCATTGAATTGTACAGGTAATTATTTACGACAATCCTATTAATTGCATGTGTCATAATTGAGTACCTACAATGTATACCTATCACTATCCCTACCTAATTCAAGTCTAAAGAACAGTACACTGATCCGTTAGCTTTAAGAAGGCATAAAAGGGAAATTTATGGAGAAAGACCTGTACATTCCAAAAAATATATGTAAATTTACAGTAATTGATACAAAATATATAATTTACAGATAACACCGTCTAATTTATTGCATTACACGTTCAAAAAGGCTGTAATTTTTACTGTGAAGCCCAGTGTCATTTGCCTCACCTGACGAGCATATTGACATATGTAAATACTTCACTCACAAAAAACCATACACAGAGGACCTTTTCCATCATAAATGATGAATTGGTCAATTATTATTATTATTCTTATTAATACATAACTCTCAGACCCTAAAATATGCAGTCCCAAAACTATTGATATCGTACCGCAAGGGAAAATGAAAATGAAAACCGGACATTCATATGACGTTCTTTGTAACAAGAATTATAAAAGAAACCCTTTTTGGAGGACCAATCTATTTATCACTTTATAAACAATTACTTGTGTGCTTTACTAATCATAGTAATCACTAATCAGAGTAATAATAAAAAGCGAGGGGGCACCCGGGTTTGAACCGGGGACCTCTCGATCTGCAGTCGAATGCTCTACCACTGAGCTATACCCCCTGTATATAACTTTCGAATTTCAGTATATGTATGCACGACAAGGGTCCTCTCATTTGATTTTTTTCAGATGCCAAAATGATTTTCCATTGTAACAACGAACTTTTATAACAAGAACCCTTTGTATGTTAACATTTTGCCATCTTTGCGGCCACTGTGGAACTGTCGGCACTGTCAGTAGGTATCCGTACCTACTTTCTTTCCCTTATGTGCCGTATAAAGCCCTGGAGTGCTTAAAAAATCAAGTTTAGAAGTGAAGTACTGCACACGAGGTAGCAATTCGATTGCATTCTACAGCAGTGAACACAAACTCAATCTGAGAATATATGACGTAATTTGACAGTGTATAAAATCTGGGACATATCTGTACAGTAGGTAGGTACCTATGGGTTGTTGCAATTCATGTTAGATAAGGGAAAAACTGGATGGTAGAGGCGACCAAAATAAGAATTTGTCCAAATAAAATAGTCCAAAATTTTCCGTTTGGAAATTTGAGTTCACATTTTTTTTCGGCAACAATAACAGATAGAAAAATGAAATACAATTTAACATTTTTTGTAAAAATGTTTCCAAAATTTCGACTGCAATATTATTGATCGAACAAACCATGGTTTGTAGCTGCAGGGCAATTTTGCTTATTAAGTATGGCGTCTCTCTATGGGTTCATTGGATATAGGTATTTTTAATTACATATTTTGCACGTCGGAATAATATGAAAAACATTTTTTTTAGAATTTTGAAAAAAAGTTTACGTTAGTATAGCTCTAACTTTGGCTACAAGGGTCCTGGGTTCGAATGCCAGGTAAGCCATGGCTGTTTGTGATTGTTTAATGGGTTGAGTGGAGAGAGTAGCTAATTAGCTAACACTCCGCCCACTATAAAACAAAGGCAATAAAAAAATGTTTGGTTTTAGATTGAATTTGTTGTTTACCGCTTTTAATCTCTTGTTCAATTTTTCCTTGCATCGCCATCATTTCTTGCTGATCGACCTGCGCCTACTATGTTGCATTCATTATTGTTTGAAAATGAACATTCAACAAAAGAGAGGGGGCACCCGGGTTTGAACCGGGGACCTCTCGATCTGCAGTCGAATGCTCTACCACTGAGCTATACCCCCTGTATATAACTTCCGAATTTCAGTTTTGAAGTTTTGACCCCACTAATGAATGCGTCTCGTTGACTTCTGTTATAATTCTCCCTTGGGAACTACCCTCTTTCGGCACTCCGTTTTTCGGTTTTCGAGTTATTAATTTGCCCTTGCTAAGTTCCTGCATATTTTACATAAGCGACTATTTTGCTTTTATTGGAAGTATGGGGAAAAAGGTCCAAAAACATCACACCCATAAGAAAGTTACTTCTGCAAGTGCCCACAACGCACTCGATTTTTGATATCAGAGTATATCAGAAGCTGCTAACAAAAAAAATCACAGATTTCGCAACCCTTCCAACCATCGGAGGCATTGGAAATAATAACCGTACAAAGCCATATGTAAAACACTTATAACCCTTATTCACACGGTATCGCTTGCTCCACTCGCTCGTGTCGCAATCGCAACGTAAACTTTCTGGATCACCGTCGTAACATGCGTGTAATACCATCATCGTATCGACAGTATCCGCGACTTTTCCTGAATCTAGTTATATGCCAGCACCCCTAATCACGCACACGCCACTGGAGGGATCCCATTCCACATTGATAAAACTAAGTTGCACTTTTCTCGCATCTAATCTTTTTTCGCCAAATGTTATATAAGTGTGATAAATAACGGTGTTCCGCATAATTGCACTTTTTCCGTACTTTATCTTTTGAAATCATTGTTAATCATATTTAGATATCTTACGAAAACTGTTAAATAAGTAATTATCAAACTTTATCTTTTCACTCCAATAATTATCTCTTAAATAGTATATAAGCTTACCTATTTTAAGGAAGAGGAAACTTTTTCTAAGCTTCAGTTGTTACCTGCGTTGCTTCATCAATAAACGTATTAAGTCAACACGTAATTATCTACCGATTGCAGTCGAGTACGGGACAATCATCACTTGATGCGACACCAATGATTGTCTTTTTTTCTGCTCGACTAACCAGCAACTTCATACCCATACAAAACATAAGCATTTCCAATGCTAAAAGTCCTACGAAAACGACTGCTAACTTTTTTGTTTATAGATATTTTTTGAAATTTTAACCAAAGATTCTGCTAGTAAAGGCAAACATGTCGCATACCTATTGCAAAAATCAGATGTGCGCATGCGCAAACTGCGTAATGCCGGCTTTGTTATTTATGGAGACATTTCTTTGAAATTTTGAAATGGTGATATTGGTATAACCGTAAACTGTTCTATAGGGAAATTCATATTTGAAATTTACCGTTTTAATTATTTACCGTGGACCAAATTTGTCTTCATACGTAACACCTGGCCAACCTGGGTCTTCAAACTGTGTAACCGAACCGGCTAAGCTAGGAGTGGCCTGTGTGGCCCTACCCTAGTGGTGAATAAACGAAGTAGAGTAGTAAAGCATTTCTGAAAAAGAATGAGATACCTACTGATGTACATGTACTTTTTGATTCTAAATCGAAATATGGCACTGATGAGATATATTTCATTGATCAAAATAAATCGTGTGTAGGTACTTACTCTTTAATTCTAACTTGATCGAATAATACTTTATTGCAATTCATATGACCTGGGTCCTGGAAGTTGACATATTTCAATATAACAAGTTGAAGCACACATTTGGCCCATTATATAAATAGTAACGTGAAATATATAAATACACCACACATTGCATTACCAGTACGAACAGAAAGACGTAAGCAATCAAAATTGGCAGGTGTATACTTAAAACGACGTTTTTCGTCTGTCTGTCAGGTGGTTATCTATGCTAAAATACCTATATCGTTAGGTCATTAGGTGCGATAATAATAACCCCTGCACACGTTTTTGTTTTAATTATAAATAAAGGTAGAAAGCAAAGAGTAAGTATTCTTTGGTACCTATACAAGGTAAGTAATTCAAATGATTTTAATTCCTAAATCTATTACTTTCTCGATACCATCTGGGGATTAGGGGATATATAAGTAAATGAAATTACTCTCGGAATTACTTAAAAATAAACACAGCGGCACGAGTTTGTGGTTTAGAAGCAAATGGAAAATAAAAATATTTTACTATTGAGCGAGTGGGGGGCATATATTGTAGAAAAACAAAGAAACGGGGAGCTTTGTGTGGCACTTTCACATTAGGACTTTTTATACATTACGCTGTACGCATAGACTGCTCTCGAAAACAAACCGTTGTTTCTGTCGTCTAGGTACTTTTAATTAGCGGTAGGCACAGAAAAATTAGAGGTATTCAGTGAATAAACGTGGACTTTGGAATATTGAACTTAGTACGAATACAACTTTTATTTGTTTAATAAATTAGGATAGCTATTTAATACTCACCAAACCGTCTATTCCATTGATGAGACTAGTAGTTCAGTACCTAATTACTGTTTCTGTGTTGCGGTTTGGCATTGGCACTAGACTGTTTGTTTTGTTTTAAGTGAACGTTTGTTAAATATAGGATCGTTAATTGAAAGGTAAGATTTGTTTATGTAAGTAGTAGGTATACTGTTGGTACGAGTACCTACTTACGAGTTGTTATTTGTAGTGTAGTACGCAGGATAATACCTAATTATGATTTTAATCACCCGCTCATATCTTGATTATTGAAGATTCAGCTTCTTGTCGCTGCAAATTAGGAGAGAATTGATTAAATTAATTAAATGAAAATGGACCAACCGAATATTTTCGATTGCTTAATTAATCGATGCCTATACTGTAAGTGCTGCACGCAATCATTAGCGGTACCTACATTAAAACACATACATACTTATATAAGAAGTGTGGATAATGTTCACCTAGGGTCTAGGGCCAAATTGTATGCCTTATGAGTTATGACGTAACTCTTAAAACATTTTTAGGAACATAAAGGTATATGTCAAAATGGTAGGTAAGTACCTAATTTTTGACCATGGTCATCCATATGCGGTCCTTTTGGTGTTTCGATTATCATAGTCATTGGTGTTTATTGGTATTTAAATGAGAAAGACTCGCTTACGTTATTTATAAATTGTAAAACAATTCACTTTAAACTCTCTCGAGTCGAGCCATATTATAAGTACCTATGTACTATTAGACATCAGCTATACAGTAGTATATAAGGATACGAATGGAGATCGACATCACGCACCAAACAGGAAATTTAAAGCATCGAGATAAGGTCCAAAACATAAAAACAAGCATCCTTTACATCCTTTTTAGAGCATTTCCCCAAAAATAAAAAAAATGCAGCACATGCGCTCTGATAAAATAATAATAACAATAATAACTTTTATTGAGCTTCATTTAAAGTACATAAATAGCTTTACTGCTTTACAAATAAAAATATAAATATGCGGTCTACCACAGATTAGATAATCACATACCGTGATCCTTTTGTAAATTTATTATTATAATAACATAAGCAAAACAAGAGAAATCAAATTAATATTCAAAATAAGATAATGATGAAAATCAAATTAATTCCTTTCGTTGAAACCTTTCATTAGAGTACCATGAAGGATAAAATAAGCTCCAACAAAAGATGGTCAACTAGAATTTCCATTAAAAAAATCAACTTTGAGTTGCAGGCTTGCAGCGCAGTTACTAAAAGGCCTAGAAACAATCGACTGACGGCATTAATTTCTACGTTAAAAAGTACCTGAATATAATGCTAAAATAATTTGTTCTAGCTTTAAAAAGCTTAAAGGATTTGGCCATTTTTGAGTTTTTCTCTTTAGGGAAAAAACAAAACAGGTCAGCTTATTTTTGTGGCAACGGTAATGAAATAAGCATGCAAAAGAGGTCCCGAGTACCTGAACCATTTTCGTTTATCTGCGCTCGTCTGCGCTAATAAGAAAGTTACCCATTTAATCCCATCGAAATTGGACCACACTGTACATGTATCTACCGGGGCCGTGTCGGCGACCCTGAGGGTGTAATACTAACCTAGGGATTTTTTAGTTTTTTCCTATCTTCTTCTACAGTTTTGGTCCGCTTGTTTTCAAGTGGGTGTCGTCGGAAAGATCTTGCAAACGCGCACAACTCCTGTGAACATTATTTTTTCCTAGGGCCAAAATTAACCACCTTTTGCAAGACGCACGCCTTCGAGGGATAGTCGACTTTGGGCGCTAAAAAGTTTCTTGGAGCTCTAATCGCGGTCTCTTTCTCGTGTCGCCAATAGAAGCGCGAGCTATGAGAAGTACTTACTCAAAAATTGAGTACTATATTATGGCGGGTTTTTAGAGAAATTCACCAAAATACGAATCACTGGTGAACAGGACGTCGGAACTGGGTCCCGACAAAAAGGCAAATGTGGTAGCCGCTCACAAGATGTTACTGATCGTGGAATCAAAACTTCAAATGCGAATTGCGGGTGAAATGGACGTCGGAAGTGGGTACTGACAAAGGGAATGTGGTAGCCCCCGACAAATAAGATCTTAATGCTGGTGGAGTCGAGTGAAGCCCCTTCGATCTCACACGAGGATTTTGATAAGTTTTGCTATTTTTAGCGCATGTTCTAACACATGTTGGAAGGCGCTATTATGGTCACTTTCTCCGTCCGTCCGTCCGATGCCTCAACTACTCGTACAGTTTTCAAGATATTTAGTTCGCTCTTTTTGCATTCGGTAGCTAATAACTCTGGCACCTCAACCAAGAACAATCTTGACGATTAGCGCAATGTCACCTTTCTTATTTATGGACATATTTTTTTTGAAATTTTAAGCACAGATGCTACTAGTGAAGACAAGTATATCGTATATTGTAAAAATTAGACGTGCTCATGCTCAAACGGCACATTGTCAACTTTCTTATTTATGGAGATATTTGTTTGAAATTTTAACCACACATGCTTCTAGTAAAGACACGCATATCGCATGCTGTAAAAATCAGACGTGCGCACTGCGCAAAGTCAACTTTCTTATCTATAGAGATATTTTTTTGAAATTTTAACCATAAATTCTTATTGTATAGACAAACATATCGCATATTTGAACATCAGGTGTATGCATGCGCAGACTGCGCAACGCTAAGTTTCTTATTTATAAAACTATTATGTCATAACTTATTTTCCCTTTGCACACATCGGGTTCTAGTACTCATCAATTCATCGAAAATGAGCTAAAGTACCCTCCTTCAGGCGAAAACGTTTTTTTCATTTTTCTATTTTTCTAATAGAATCTATGTAGCGAATTGTGCTCTTCTCAATAACTTCCGATATAGCAAGAGAAGAAGGGTAAAATGGATAAAATGGCACTGCATGCTACGAGAATGACTCGATATACGTACATAAAAATTCTTTAAAAAATACAAATACATATAATACATCTGCCGCAATTTTTTTAAACACTTCTTTCCATTACTGATTCTGTGTTTTATCATTTCCGATGATTGATCGCAGCACTGTGTAAAATAGATACATATTATTATTAAATATCCTCAGATTCTTTATAATTTTGTATTGTCGTTCGTGCGTCTGTCCGTCCGTGTGTACAACTCTACAGGTCGCTATTGATTTTCAGGTAGCTATAATCAACAGGAACAAAAGTTATGGAACTTCCAGCGAATCGGGATTGGGAACTTTTAGTAACTACGTGATAGGCATTTTGATCAAAGCATGATCAAGGAATGAATTTGACCGTTTATTTTACCACCGTCAGTTATACACTATTTTGATCAATAAAGGTAACTAAATGTTACTTTATCGAAGTGTGAAATAAATGCGGAGGAAAATTAATACTGAGGATCTTTTGATATTCCGCTGTATCCATTTATTGTGCCAAATTTAATGAATTAAATGTCGCAAATTTGGTACCGTTACAGTTTTTGTTATTTTTTGTAGTAAAGTTAACAAAACGCCTAAATACTGGGTTACAGAGGTAACAAACATTGTGTTGGTGAATTTACATGGTATATGAACATGAACCTAATCTATATTTAATGATTATAGAAATTGTTTAGATCCGACCCAGAGTTTATGAAAAAAAAGATCCGAAAGCTTAATTTCGTTCCATTAAAATTCAATTTCAAACCTTTAAAAGTGTTGTTATTGACGATTTCGCTAATCTTTTAACGATTTGTTACATCAGTTATTAGTTACAAAAAGGATGTCCAGAATAGCAACAAACCGAATAACTGGGTCCCTACTGAAGATTTTAAAAAATAAATCAGCTTCGCCTTCGTGTAATGTACTACCGGACAAAACGTACCTCACGTACACTCCAAGAACCGTCATCAAGTCAACATTTCCTGATATCGAACTCCCGAAAGAGAATTTAGTGCAGCACGTTTGGAAACATACAGATAACTGGGACGACATTCCCTGTACGGTGAGTGGTAGACAAATATATCTATCAATTTAATTGCATGTTCATAAAGCATATTACTTCTCAGAGGAGTGTATAGTTAAAGGTCCTGCACGCATGAGAATCTGCTTTAGAAATTGAATTTTAAGTAAAAATATTCTGACGGCGGTGTATACCTACTACCTAATTATCTAACTAATTATATATTTTACACTTTAGACATGTGGAGTGTCTGGTCGAAATTACACCTACGGAATCTCTAAGCATGGCATTAGCAAGTGCGCCCAAGCTCTATTAGCTGAATGTAAACTGAAGCCAGGCGACGTAGTTGCTCTACTGTTGCCAAATATACCAGAATTTTTGATTATTAGTCACGGTATATTCACCGCAGGTCTCATTCTATCCTTCGCAAATCCTTTGTACACGGAAGGTACGTGCCAAACGCCGTTCCTGATGCGGATCCCTCTAATTCTGAGATTTTTAGATGAGTTAAGGCGTCAGTTTCAAGATTCCAACGTAAAGGCCATAGTAACAATATCGCTGTTTCTGGACGTTGTTTTAAAAGTATCGGCGGGATTACCTGATTATAAAACAACGATATGCGTCGGAGGGGCCGATGATGCGGTTAAAAACGTACGTTCGTTACAAAATTTGATCATGGAGGATTACAACGTAGAGCTTCCAAAAGTTGAGCTTCAAGATGTTGCCATGATATCCTACTCGAGTGGTACGACCGGGTTACCGAAAGGTGTCATGTTGTCGCACGAAAACTTGGTCGCCAACCTAATGCAATTAGATCATCCTAATTTATGTACTTTGAAACCAAACGAAGTTAATAAAAAGGGTCTAACCGTTCTACCTTATTTCCATATTTATGGATTTAATTCCATTATGAATTTGAGTGCGAAATTAGGAATCTCGCTGGTTTCGTTACCAAAGTTTACTCCGGAAGATTACATTAAAGCGTTGTTAGAGCATAAGCCTTACTTCCTATTCGTTGTACCATCTCTGCTATTGTTTCTAGCAACTCATCCATCTGTGACTAAGAATCACTTATCGTCGATAGAAATTGTGAGTTCGGGAGCCGCACTTGCTTCTGAATCTTTACTGCAAAAATTTCGAGATAAAGTCGGGAGAGACATAATGATTAGGCAAGGTATGATACTGCGCTTTTAACTTAATAATGTATATCATCTCGAATCAATGTTTAGGATACGGAATGACCGAATCGTCCCCCGTGATATTGTTTTCGCCAAGAAATTTGCCGAAATCGAAGAAAAACACCATTGGACTTTTAGTGGCAAACACTGAGGCGAAAATAAAGACTTTAGTTGGCAATAGGGATACTGAGCCAAACACGCCAGGAGAACTTTTAGTTAGAGGACCCCAGGTGAGTCAGTACAAATATCAGGGGAACTGTCGATATTCAATTACATGTAAATTAGGTGATGAAGGGATATTTAAATAATCCGGAAGCTACAAAACAGATGTTCACAGAAGATGGTTGGATGCATACTGGCGACGTGGTTTATTACGACGATGATGGATATTTTTACATTGTTGATAGGTGCAAGGAATTGATTAAAGTTAAGGGAAACCAGGTAAGTGGAAAACTGGATACCTTAGTTTCTTTTTAACATCCCTCGCAGTGAGATACATATATAGCATTGAATAAACATTTTTTATACAATGATACCGTGGTAATACTATGCGATCAAAAATGAGATGCTGCGAGTCACCTTTCGAATTTTTTTTACATGGCAAATCGTACTGGAACTTCCAAATGATAAAAAAATAAATTAATCGATATTGTTTTCGTTTTGGACGAGATAGATAAGAATTGTCTTTTTTGCATGGCCACCTCGTTATTATGTAAATTACATAGAACTTATTTTTAAGAGGATTAGGATACCCCAATGATATGCGCTTTTTGCTATATCTTCGTTATTTTTAATTCGATTTTCATACGGTTTTCGACAATGTAATTCTAATTTATCGGTAAACGGCGCTATTTCATTAAAATTTTAAATTTGTGAATATTTTGATATAAACTTTGTTGTTAGAAATCATTATTTTGAACAATTTAAATAGCACCGTTTAGTTATACATTGTGGACAAAATTGATCACTGCATGGATAATTTAATTGTAAAAATCCGAAACGAAATTAAAGGCATAACTAAGATTTACCTGATATATGGCGCGTGATTATAAAAATTTTGTGTTTATACGTGATGAATAAAGAAAGCTATTAGAGGTAAAAATGTGGCAACACAGCGGTGAGCCGTTTAATAATAGCGCCGCACACTTCTTGTCACAAATTGTTTTGTTTCATGATATAATGAAAACAACTAGACTAGGAAAGAGAGGAAAACAAGATAAACCTCTCGCCAGGAAAGATTGCCGGTCACAGAACACTTGATCCCGGTCTACAATCTATGTTTTTCTAAAGATGTGACCGACTTCCGGGATAGTATTAATGTCAATATTGAACAAAAAGACTTTTCGTTTAACATTGGCACAATCCTATTCCGGAAGTTGCTCGCATCTTAAGAAAAACTTAGATTGTAGATCGACACAAGGTGTGCTGTGACCGGCAATCTTTCCTGGCGAGAGTTATATGTATATTGCCGTTCTAAATTCGCCCAGTCCGCGAATGACATCACGCGGAGCTTAAATTTTGAATTTAAAACGGGATTGTTATGGGATTTATTTCTTAATTCTACTATAGCGCGTCCAAACCACAGAGTTATATATAAGTAAATAGAGAGACAGTCTTGTAGCGAAAAATTGACTCCAATTGAACCTTGCGCAGGCCGTTGGTGAGTGTGCGCAGTAATCGACAACAGAACCGGCTTCAAATTAAATGATCCTTAAAGCAGGTTCGGCTTGAGAATATATGGTTTCTCATTGCAACAAAAATTGAAAAGAAATTCAATGTGTGGTGAATGATGTTGTTAACACTGTGTCTTGAATAAAAATAATAAGAAACATTACAATCGTTAAGAACTTTTAATACAGTAGACTACAATACAAAGCTGGTAAGGGGCTTACAACATCAGAATCGAGAAAAGATTTTTTGAGATTCTGGTATAAAGGAAATCGTATATTTGTCGTGCGATCAAGTTTAAAGATCTATTTATGCACTCAGTGAGTATAAAAATAAGCAATGAAAGAATAAAATAAGTTGAAATTTTATTTTGGGGTGCGGGACAAAATTTCAGGTGTGCAATGCCGAAAACACAGTTTGAATAAGGGTAGCCACAAAGTCGACAAACTTCAAATGCCAATAACTCAAATATCTTAAAAATGGAACATCGGCAGAGGGTATGTACAGTGGCACCACGCTCAGAAGGTTCCTGACAGGGCGTGTTCGAGGACGTTGGAAATTTAGACTGTACATTCTCATGCAAAATTTGACTCTACTAAATATAAATAAGTGGGCCACGCGATATGAGTTGCATTACTTCAAGGGGAAACAGTAAAATTAATAATTTTATTTCTATAAAACATAAACACATTTAAGATTGTTAGATGTTCATGTTCAACACAATTTACAATTCTGATGCACTTCTGCTGTGTAAATATGGACAGTTTCAACAATTGCTTGCGAAGAGTTTTCCTTCCACCCATATATTTGATCTTTTCTTGCACTTTTCTAGGAGCATTTTAAAATATCCTTTATTTATGTACAGATCGTCGCCTACTAAACATTGAAATGGCGGTAAAGAGTATAATATAATATTATTGCTCCAAAGCGTCTGTTTATTTACAAATGAAGCTGAAGCATCTGAAAACGTGAAAAGTTATTGCTGTTTTGTTTTGTGATTATGTAACTGAATGCACCCAAAAATCGTGCTGATTCCCTTTCACGCACTGCGCATGAGTCCCAACCCAACGGCTCCGCCATTAAAAGTAGGCCACTGTAATTGGAGTTATTTTTCCACGCGCAGGTCGTATGTACTGCCTCTCTATTTACTTATATACAACTCTGTGGTCCAAACCTCCAAATTCAGTATGGGCTCTTATGGAGTATACACCTCCTTTACTATCTTTAGCGATTCCCAAATAACACTATCCTTGTCCTACAAGGCAACGTTGTCAATTGTAAATTGTAATTTCATCAGTCATCTGTCACCTGTCACATTTATATTGCTTTTGTTTTTCTCCGTAATTTCTTAAATTCTCGTACCGCATTTATTAAAAAATCGTTCTTTCAGAACGCATAAATCATTTACATTTTACACTAGCGTTTTTAAGGTAATGATGGGTTTTCCTATGATTTTGTCATTGAGGTTAACTTTGTAGAGTTTCCAATAATATGGAAGCTCGGCATGGTAGTTTTGAATTCGACTGCTTGGCGCGTATGACTCGATCTTTCCTGTAATTTCTGCAAAGCAAATAAACGTGTGTTGGTGACGAAAATTTGGAAGATAAATCCTAGGGAGAAGAGAGGCCTTCAATTAAGAAATCCTGAGAGGACAATAACTTGAATATTATTTCTTTATTAGGGGGCTGCAAATTTGGTCCAAAAATGTGTGTCTTACGAAAATTAAAAAAGATTATTATACAGAGAGATTTTTTTCTCATTTTCACTATGGGGATCTCGTAAACAGTAAGAGATACAAAGTCGCTTAAATGGGAACAGTATGCAGAATTTTATACGGATTAATATACGACCAATCAGCGTGGTGATTGTTTCAAATTCTAACCAATCAGACGATTCTTTAAGTGATTAAAAGCTAGGTAGCTTTTTATCAGCGATCAAAATGCGCGTAGGAATGCGTAAAATATATAGTGGTTGTAAAATTTACTGTCTTTTATTAATCTCCCTAAAATACACTCGATCTTGGTTTTAAATCAGGTTAATTTTATTTTTAATTCACTCAAATTTTGTTGCATACTGGAAAAAATTCTCGATCAAAAGCATAAGATAAAATCGCTCCAGCTCTTTTGATCCCTAGTTTTTTCCGTTGCAACAAAACTTTCGTTTAAACATAAAATTATGTATCCGAGTAATAATCAAGCTCTTATGTATATTTACCCCCGATTAATTTTTTCCTTCAAAGGTTCTTGTAGCTCTACAAATAGTGAAGTTACGACCAAAAAACCGAAAAATGTCACTTTCCAGAACGCGCTGGCGTGTAGTTATTTTCAAAGATATCAAAGAATAATTTTAACAAACCCTTAATGATTTTTGCTTACCTTTCTCATGGTGCTAAAATAAAAATGACTTGTTTTTCGAGTAAATCACATCAACTTTCTTATTTCTTATGGTAGGTAATGATGTAATATTGTAATTTTCACTAAATCGTGGGGTGTAAAAATAATCTAGAAACTGACAACGATCTCCTAGTTCACAATAATAATGAACAACGGGAAAAAGCTGATGTAATGAAGACCATACAGCACAAACCAAAGTTGCAATTTCATTGATTGCGAATTTGAGTCGGCCAGTAGGGGCGGCACAAATGGAATAGCATACTAGCGGCAAATTTGTATCCGCCACTGTGATTTGTGTTGCAAATACTCACAAATCATTAGCTGCCCATCGGAGGCTACATTTTTGGCGGCTTTGTTGTATGTGATTTGTGCAAATACTTTCAAAGTCGAACTTGACCTAACCAGCCTTTCTGTTTTGTTTTGAACACTCAAATGTCAAAGCGCAGCAGTGTTGCCAGAGTGTAAAAAGCGCACCAGTGTTGCCAGAGCGCATGCTACTAGGACGCGCTTATTCTGCAACAACGAGTTCTGTAAAGCCCGTTTGTAACCATCCCTTATTTAGTCAATTTTTAAATAATTTTTTTAGGAACAAAAAAATTTAACATTTCATACATCAACTTTGATCAATTTTTTGGTAGTTATTTTGGGAACTGAAAGTTGCTCTATTTTTGTAATGTTTAGAAACTGTCCTATTTTCCCTCAATTTTTTAGTAACTTTTGACAGATTATAGGGAATTTGTAAAATTAAAATTAAATTTATATTTATTTTTAAAGCTCACTTATAATACGTTGACAGTAGATAGAGACCAGAAGATAAATATTAAGTCTCCAGATTTAATATAACATAGGTTATGTACAAATGTTTACATTTTACAGGTACTAAAAAATTGACAATATTATGGAATGTTACATACAATTTATGACATTTTTAGGATAGCATTATCTTTATTGAAGAAAAAAAGGACTAAAAATTTGATTAAATAAGTGATCGTTACAAACGGGATTAACACTATTTGTGTGACAGAGATGAATATACGCTGGTAGATGTACGATTACACTGCAATGAGAATTATGGTAACACCTCCGATGGAGACGTAAGGGGACTGTTTATTTACGCATGAAAAAGTCACGTGGTCTCCAATCCTTAAGATCAGAATATAAAAACCAGGAAAACCAAGATATTTCGAAAACAATTCGAGATAGATGTAGGACATTATTATCAAAAGTTGAAGGTTTTTGAAGGGGTTAAAAGATGACCGAAATATATACGAAGTGTTCCATTTAAAAAGTGAGATTTTTTAATGTGACGTTTTGTAACTTTGGACCTACAAAAAAACACCCTGTAAACTATTTTTTTAATGTTTCATGTGGATGCTATTTATTTGACTTTTACTTTACCCGGGATAAAAGATATAGAACCTGGAATCAAAATTTAAGTAATAATTTTGACAATATACTGACGCTTGCAAATGCCTAATTTTTCTCACAATTCGAATTATCTTTAAAACTACTAATTTTTCGGGTATTAACCATATAATAAAAAAGTCGTACAATTACACGTAGAATTAAAAAATGCATACAGATAAAGGGGGTTCCATTAAAAAAATGTACCATTTTGGCGTCCTACTTTGTGAGCGCACCCTGTATAATTCCAAATATTTTTAAAATGTGGAGAATATTCAACCATATCATAATACAAAAACGCTCTATCGAAAAATCTTATCTTCAAGGCATTAAGTTACTCCGCGCAAAAACATACCTACACACATTGTAAATGCTTGATTCATCTAAAAAATAATTAATCTGTGGACTTGTATCTAACTTGTTTATTCTTGTGCTTGTCTATCTTTCTTGCAACAAAAAAATTCGCCGTTCTCCCAAACTTAAAAATCTCCCGCACGCGCCAGTAACTAATCTTAAACACACATATAAATGCTTATTATTGAAACAGTTTAGGATAGTTATAATCTGTTGGGAAATTTAATCTCCTACAATTTATCTTTAATACATTTCTTTCGAACTTTCAGTTTCTCTGCGTTTTGAAACAAATGCGCGCGATCGTGATTTTTGTAATATTCTAGACCGAAATTAAACTTGTCATCTCTTTCTTACCTTGTATTGACCACGATGTTGCTTCACAATTTCACCAATATTTTGTACACCTACCTCATTTTACACAGTGGGTTGTAAATATTACTTACCTCTTCTTAAAAATCTTATGTTCTTTTTATATATTTATTGTGTTTGTTGAGTAATATCTCATAACATGTGGGAATATGAGTTTCCAATATCATTGCCCATTTAAAAATGATTCCTTTTTTTAATGTGAAGCGACAGTGGAATTTCCAGGGTGACTTTTTTACCTTTAGAGTGCAGTTATATCTGAATTTCAACGTTTACACTTGATTTGCTTTGTTAAACACTTTTTAGCGCATTTTTGAAAAAAATACGCTATTATATTCGTTATTGCTGGCAGGCCGGCTGTCCGCGTGAGTTCTCCACAACTACAATAGCTAGAGAATTCAAATTTTCACTAAAAGCTTTCTGCTATAGTGTAGATGTGCAGGCACTAGTCTATTTTGAGTTAGATTACTTGTGAGATCGATAATTGATGAAAATAAATTCGATATGGGTTTCGGAGGTGCTATAATTTTACCGTTAGATAGCGCTACCAGTATAAAAACTTATTATTTACTTTGTGATTTGTTTTACAAAATGAAGACGTACCGTCAATTGAAATTAAATAAAATTAATTATTTAACGCAGCCAAAATTACTCCTGAGATCGATAATTTTAAACTTCGCTAATAAAATACTGACCTGCATTACCAAAAATGCGCTTTAATCATGCATATGCTGATTTACAACTTGTTTTATTATACCTGAATCACACACAATCTCCGTTTTAAACACTCAAATGCGTGCGAAAAAGGGCCTTTAAAACACACGTGCTTTAAAGTTGCTAAGTAACGATACTTCAAGTACGACTTTTGAAACTGTCTTCTGGATGAAATAAAAAATCCTCTTAGGTCGCTTTCTGTAAATGCAGAACATTTCTTTGGCTTTTGTACCTATCCTTTGGTTGAAGCTTTCACAAACGCGCGTAATTTAGGGAATGCTTCCAAATCTGTTCCATTTTTTAATCGCAGCATTGCTTTAAAGAATGCGCCAAAATATATAGAAGATTTAAATACCTTTGACATTTCCTTCATATATGCCAGCATTATGGATGCATTTAAGACTTTATTCGTAAGTAACTTCCTATTCCATCCATGGAAACAACTTTTCACATTCTTTATAATAGGCTTTACTGGATTTGGATTTTACACCTACCAGATGTTTAGATTTTACAACATCCGATTTAATGGACGGTGTATTATCTTTTTCAACGGAAATCGTTTAATTCACAAAGACGATGATTTTTATAAGCAAACGTCAAGTGACATTTCCATGGCAATCGTGAAATTACGAACACCCAGCCCACTTAATTAGACATGTATTCGAGTATAACGTCAATATGACTTCATTGTATTTCCTATTTTTAAATTATACTGCAGGTATAATAAAAAATACTATAAGATACACGTGTATAATTGGTCTTTAAAGCACTTGCAACGTTAAAGGCACTCCGCTTTGCGTCGTGCCCTTAAACTCGTTGCGCGTGCTTTAAAGACTTGATTATACACTTGTATCTTAATATACTATTAATGTCAGATTTTCATGTTATAAAATACACATTGTTCAAAGTTAATTTTTCATTATTCTGAGTAGCCCTAAACCTGAATTTAAATTGTTATTGGGGAATATTTAAATTCCTTAACCTGTCATTAATGAGAGGCAAATTTGAATTTAAATTTATTACGATTTTCGTTATAAACATTTGCTATAAAGTCCTTCATATGTAAAATAATACTAAACTTCCACGTAAACAATCATTGATGTAAAACATTGTGTGTGAAAGGCTCACTGTTAAGTTTCTCTTCATTTTGTACCAACTTAACGATAATAAATAGATAAGAGCGTAATTACATAAAAAAAAAGAATTAGGCACTTATAAACATCTCGAATTATTCATGCAGGTATAGAAAGGATACACGTACTATGAAAGTAGTAATGTAATGGTAAATGTCTTATACAAATTTGAAGACGAAGATGATTAATGTTAAGTTGATTAATGAACACTTGACGTCTACATATAACCAAAAGAAAAGGAAATGGAATTGTATCACTATTTGCAATTTTTTATATTGAAGTGCTTCAACTGTGATCAAGCCATTAATCACCGGACGTTGCAGCTTCTTGACAAGTCTCCTCTCCTATGTCGATATCCATTGAGTCTCGACTCGTTGAACTCGATGCATACTCCTCATTGTTAAATGGTACTTCATCAGAGTTATTACTTTCGGACTCCTCTATGGCAATACCAGAATTTGTATCGACAATACAGTCAGTTAACGAATCCTCAGATATATAAGTTTTCTCCTCACAAGTTTGATCTCGGTTTACAGATAAAACATCAGCTGCGTCATTGGAGAGATCATCAGTCGAAGAAACGGAAGTTTCTTGCGAGACTGGCGAAATAACAGCATTACTTTCGCATATAGTAATCGTTTTTAGTTCTTCAGTTTCGACAGTTGACGTCACCGTTGTCGAAACTTCCGTGATAGCATCCGAGATCGGATCAATAGTTTGATCGCCTAACAGACTTTCTGTATGCGATTTATCGTCCTCTTTAACTGGATTCGTTTCTGCTTCCTGACTGTCTTCGCACGACACGCCAGATGAGATTTCGGAAATTATAGGGATTTGAATTAAAGGTGCAGACTCTATCGATTGGTCCGATACAATGTTCAATTCCTCTGTTTCATGTTGGACTTTGGATGCGGGGTCGGATGTTTCGATCTCTGATTCGGATGGAAGTTGCACATCCTCTTGTGGAACAGTCTCTGTGGTTGTAGATGACGTGGATTCCTCTGGTTGCTCCGTAGTTTTTACAACCTGCAAATTGAAAAAACAGTTAATCAAACTATTAAAGATTCTATATTATTTAACGTTTAAGTATTCATTATGTAATATTACCAATGACTAATGGGCGTATTAGTCAATGATATTACTCTGTAATTGACATTGGCTGTTATTATTATTATCACAAATTAAATAAAAATCGGCGGCAATAGTCGTCCAAGCTTATATGCATGTGGTCAACGCACATATGTACCTATTTCCAAACAGAAATTCAGATTAAATTTTTAGCTTCCTAGCGTCAGCTAGGTGGTTATTGCGATCACCATTTTTTGGACATGTAAAACATCAAATAAAACGTTTTCCGTCTGTACGCATGTATGTACGTACCTGAGCAGCTCAACGAATTTTGTTAGAATTTTGGATATCTGTACTGTTAGGCATACGGAAACGAAAAATAACGGGCCGGATTTTTGAAAAACAATTTTACTATAAAAAAATGGAGAAAAAAAATGTTACATTTTTTTCGCCAAACCGGATATTTTTATTTCATTAAAATTTTGGCAGTATACATATACATTAGGCATAAAGAATGTAAACCTGTTTTTAAATATGAGTTTTTAGCGCCGTGACGTCATATAACTGTTTTTACATCCACACATTAGTAAGGGAGGTATTGCGTTGGGGTAAAAATTCTCCCTCCACTTTTTTTTAGGGAAGTACACATATTGACGGGTTTAGGACACTTCGCCGAAAAATATTCTAAACCTATAATAACCTAACGTTAATAGTTGCTTGGTGTTGCACACCGGCCAGCTGCATTAAGAAGTGTATGAGCCGATGTTATGGTCACATTCAGCTTAGTGTCCCTTGAACACTTGTCGACGATGTAGGCACTGTCGGCGATATGGACCATAAAAAAATCGTGTAGGCGTTGTGGGCATTCGGCGAAGTGTACCGGCCCCGTTTTGACGCACCAGGAATCCGAATCAAACAAAATCTTGATGATGTCGGTTTGCTGATCCGTCTGTAGTTTCACTTCCGGCTAAACTGACTGGCACCAAATTTGGTACACTTATTCTGAGACAAAGATCCAAAAAGCTTTTCGGCAGAACGCGTATGTGCTAGTGTGCGGGTGGTATCTGTGCTAGCTACAGCAAATTTTCTTCAAATAATAACCCAATTTTTTATTAATGGGCGAAGTTTTTGAGTGGCTGCCCATTCAAATGCAAGTATTAACCGGGAACAACGTTACATGACTGTAGACAATAAAGGAATTATTAGTAATACTAATAAACATAAACAAAAGTAAAAAAAGCGCGTGAAGTCGTAACACAACAACGTGGAGCCCGAGGTATTTACAAGAGAATGTATCATACAAAATTATCCACTATCGCGAATTAATTAGAATGATTAATTTTGTAAGGGGTAAACTGTGTTTTTGTCCGAGTATAACAATGGAATTCGGAACAAACGAAAATAAATAAAGTAGCGGGTTTTGCCGTTACCACTCCTACGGTCATATCAATGTTGTCTGACAACTTAGCAAAATGTTTTTTTCACGAATGTACAGCTAAAAGTCCACACTATCAAAGGTTACTGGTCTGATTTTCAAATGTAATTCGAAAATAATACGAATAAGCGTTCAAAATTGACAATGGGTTTTTGGTCAAAAACTATCAAAAAAAATTTTCAAATGGAAATCATATCTTCACTACGCATCAATGGAAAGAGTATAAAAAAACGGGCAAAAAATGTACTTGCAAGATTTTTCAAAAATGGACATTTTTTTTTAGAAAAATTTTGCAAGCAAATTTTTTGCCAGTTTTTTTACACAGCTAAGTTTGTTATTTATAACAAGATTTATGCCATAACTTATTTTCCTTTGTACACATAAGTAGTCACGTCATGTAGTTACATGACCTTTCGCTAAATACTAATCAATTCATGGAAATTGCGCTAATTTCATTTTTTTTTAAATGACAGACTTGAGTTCTGAACAAGTCGGCGTTTCGACTTGTTTTTTCTATGAAATGTGTGATTTTTGCGGTTTTTTGGTATCAGGAGAAATTGTGTAGTTTCTTCTTTTCAGAGCTAAAATTTGTTTAGATGGGTGCCATTTGGAATTTTAAAAAAATATGACATTTGACGAAGCTCAATCAAAAATTTTCTTTTTTCAATAAGACCTAACAAAATATGTGGAGGTGAAAAAGGCCTGTGCCTCAATTCAAAACTTAACCGCCGGCGCGATTTAATTTCGGTGGAAAAAATTTCGAAAAACAGGCTAATTTTGAAAAAAATTGGTAATAGCGATTAGTGTTATGCTTATGTAGTATAAAAAAGTGAGTACTCAAGTACTTTCCCATTCCTCAATAAAATTTAGGGTGTTCCATTCAAAAAACGTTTTTTATACGCCACTGGAATACAGTACGCCACTGGCCACCAGAAATATTTTAAAACCATGACCGTAATTGTGCACAATTTTGCTCCTATTTTCTGTCGATATCTTTTATAGTAAAGGAATTAAAATCCATGGGGTCTCAGATGCAGCACTCTGTACAATCTTCTATACCTAAAATTAGCCATTTTTGACATATTGTAATTTTTTATGTCAAAAATGACGTTGCAAGTACGGTTTTTGACTACAAAACGTCATTTTTGACATAAAAATTACAATATGTCAAAAATGTTTTGTAGTCAAAAACATATTGGGCCCTCACACAAACGGATAAAAAGACAAAACCCCAGTATTCGCGCATTTTTATTTTTGCAAAATGCACTAAAATTTTTCATTTCGAACAAATACGCTAATGGAAACTTTAAAATCAAACTTCTCTGTTATCCTCTGTTGAAATTCATAGGTAACGGCGCAATTCAGTCACGCTAACCGACTACCCAGTGGACATTTGTCTTAAAGTAAAATTTCCATAATATTGGTATCAGTCTCAGTATCAGTAAAAAAATCGATCCGTAATTATTTTTCTGATAAAAGTACAAAATAAGTTGTTTTAAATTTTATTTTAACTGGAGACATATACAATAAACGCAAGCAAAGTTACCAAAAAGGTTAGCTGTAGGCATCATCCATTTTTCTACAGGCCACGGTATGTGACAAGAAAACACTCAAACCAGTTACAGACTCCATACTGAGAAAGTCCTATACACATAAAAAAATTAAAAATCAATTACAAAATAGCTACTTCATACTCCTTGATTGATCAAATTTTTATTGATAATTTTTTTAAATAAATACAAAAATCGAGACAAAAATTATACGGCTTTCGGTAGTAACTAGCAATGATAGCAATTTTATAGGACTTATAGTCCAGTCAATTTGTACTTCCTGATTACAAAAGGTCCGATAGAAGATTTTATTTTTCCGACTTGTTTAAATGGTAAAGAGAGAGAAAAATCCAAGTTTGCCAATTCGACTGACGTCGGGAGAAATTTCTGTGGTCAAAAATTTGCAAACATTTCTGCTTTTTTTGATTTTTCTCAAATAACCCGCCAACTCTTATGCAGATAAAGCGAATTTTCTTAAAAACCGGAATAGTTCTGCAGATATTTGCAATGAAAGTTTCGACATCTCCAATGGACATTTCTCGTCCTAACGTTCCACTTGCGTTTTATGAGTGCCCTCTTATGACACTTCGTTTTCAAGATATTCGGTTGGACTTCACCAATAGATAGGTATGTCTCGTTCAGAGGATTCATTTTGCCTTTATGTGTACTCTCCTTCGTCCTGGGTCGAGGAGGAAGACTATGATTCGTAAAAGGTAATTCCTATAATTGAGTTCATTCATTAGAGTACCATGAAGGATAAAAGGATAAAACAAGTCCCCTCCCCCCCGGTAAGGGGTTAGAAAGAAAGGGGGGAGCTGGTAGAAAACAGTTACTTTTTTCCCTTTTAATTAGAATACCATGAAAGATAATACCTCTACCCTGTCTGTCACCCAGTGATGTCGAAACGGAGTTGCGTAGGAAGGTAGAAACCAATTCATTTCGATGGGACCTTTCATTAGAATACCATGAAGGATAGAACGTGTATTTACCCCCTCAGCCTCCACCATTTTCAAAATTTTGACATGACATCACTAGATGCATGTACATACAAAATCTGAGACAAATTAGTGGTCCCACATTTCTTTCTTAAAAAATGCGCTAAAAATATTATTTTTAAAAATTACTATAAACACAAAACTTTAAATTAGTGTATCTCCTAAACTATACATGTTCGGGGGCCAAATATCAAATTGAAGGTACTTTTATACACTACAGTTTTTAATAATGGATGATTTTACCTAAGTATTACCGTTGTTGAGTTATTTTAAAAAAACCGAACAAATGTTTGCAGATTTTTGCCCACAGAAATTTCTCCCGACGTCAGTCGCATTGGATTTTTCTCTCTCTTTACTATTTAAACAAGTTTGAAAAATAAAATATTCTACCGGACCTTTTGTAACCATTTACCATTTTTACGTCTAATTTGACTGGACTGGTAAGTAGAGAAACTCAAACCTTTTTCTAAATAAACTCAAGTATCAATATCGACTCTAAAATGTGTCATTTCAGAAACATGTTCAAAAGAAGCCCAAAAGTACCAACATTTGCATTACTTTAATTTTTCTCTGTCACCCAAATAGATAGAAGGATCAAACCGAGAATGGAATTATCCTCATGTAGCTTTTGCAAAAATTTTCAGAATTCTTGTTCCAACCTCTAAGCGAATGACACAAAATTGAATTCCTAATTTTCATGTTCATAAACCCCCATCTCTAGTACCCGATTTCATAGAGATTAGAATTAAAGAACCAAAAATTTTAGAAAATTGTACAAAATTGAAAACTGTATAGGGATTCAAAAATCAATATAAAGCCATCATTTCATCTTTCCATCTGTTATTGTCACAGAGAAAAAAATTGCGCATGAACTATTTTAGGCCATGATTTGGAAAAAAACACTTGTTTTGGTGTTAATAGAATAAGCAATTTTAAGGTGTTGGTCCACGGCAATTTTTTAAATATTTATAATACACCCTGTATATATCTGTTTATAGAAATATACAGTGTCTTGTTAAACTACTAGGAAAGAGTATTAAATAGTTTTTTTCTATGTTTTGAACGTTCAGTACAGTAGACTACAAAGCAAATAACTTACGTCGCATTCTGTACTTTGCAAAATCTTCACAGTCTCATCGACGGATGATACGACAGGCTCAATGCTATCTCTACGTTTCTGAACGGCAGCGGGAATGGCAGTAATCGTAACCGTTACATCTGAATCTTGCACGTTCTCTTCTCGAGCGCAGCTGTCGGACACAACGGGCTCTATCGACACATACGGTTGTTCCGCAGACGTTCTGCACGTAATCACGGATTCGACTGTAGAAATGCAGTTGTTATCCAGGGATCTCGTATCGGTACAGAATGCGGTCGATATAACTTCCGATTGTACATTACGTATTTCGGTATTCGTGTCGTCGCTTTGATAATTCCCTTCAGTTTGTAATCTCGGCCAGACGGGACTTTCGTCCATTTCTTCGACATTAATATCGTTACCCACACTGTTGGCGTCACGTGTATGATCGGCTTCGAGTCCGTTAACTATTCCGTCACCGTTCTCGGCGCTACGTCGAAACCCGGGTTCGGTCGTACTGACGACGAGAATGTTTTTTTCTAAAGCTCGCATATACTTATCTATTCGGTTGTATTGTTTTCGAGGTGATGTTAATAGTTCACAGATCCTTTGCACCGTAAAGGGAGCAGCGGAAAACGTATCTAATTTGTCCAAAATGAAGGTTTTCATCGACTCGTAATTGAAGACTTCGACGTTTGGACAAGGTGGGATTTCGACTGAAGGGCACGACTCGTAAAAATCCGTTATTACGTTAATTAACTTCTCCCTTAGCAGGCTCTTTATTGTACCCCACTGATAAACAGGGTCACCAGTTTTTGCAACAAAGCACAGGTACTCTTCAAGCTCGCGAGGTATATCCTTAGGTTTCAGTTTTGAAAATTCTTCTAAGCTGTGTAAGATTTCTTCGGGATTTTCCATTTTATTTACAACGAAATTTTGCGAAGCGTTCAAAACATACAAAATTATGAAAAGAAAATTGACAAATGACAATGAAAATTTCGATCACGTGCGCACGCGTTATGTCAGTGATTACAGGACTACCAACCGTATTTTATTGATTGTTATTGAAAAAGGTACGTCATATAAAATCTACGAGTAAAAATAACAGGAGAGAATATAACGATGGTGGGAAATAGCATAACACGCGACGGAAGTCTTCAAAATATCACTTCCTTTGCGCTGGTCAGTTATGTCGACTTGACTTATCATAAAACAGAAGAGACGATGTCAGTTTTGTTTTATTACAGCACTGCCAATAATGACGCGTTGCTCCCCACTTTTCTCGCACTTTTATCACTTCCTTTTTGTCCATTTCCGTCAAGTCCCCTTTTAATGCAAGGTTCTCTCCTTTTATTTTTTACTCGTAGTATAAAATTGTACAATAATAATTACAAAACATTTTAAATTTCTATCAATGGTGATATATCTGCTTCTCTTGGAGTCTTGCTTAATTCCAATAAAATATTTGCAACTTCCCTATGAACATCTTCTGATTCTCTTTGAAGACATCGCTTTTGGCTTTTAATTGCTTCTTCCTTTTTCGGGCCCTTATTTATTAATATTCCCCTTTCAGGGGATTTAGGCAAGAACAATGAAGGTACACTATCTTTTTTCAAAATTCTGTTCTTTGTAATGTACTCTAAAAATATAAATTCATTAGAATGCTTGTTATATTTCAATCATTTGTTGTCACTGCACAAACATAAATTCATTCAAAATGAAATTTAAATGTTTACCAGATAGAAAATAATTTTCTGACTTGAAATGTTTACTACAAACAACCATATATTCAGAGACTTTCCTCCCCAATTTTAACTGTTTTATCCATGCTGTTTTCCGGTCCATTAATTCAACTTCACCAAACTTATTATTTTCCATCTTAACCTTATTTTTGTTGTCTTTGGGGAAGGTGTGAAAACTTAAATCGGGATTTCTTCTGGGGGTTGAATTGCAACCGTTAACACAACAAAATACTTTTGATTTGGACGTCATTACAAAAACTATAAAATTAAGTAGATAGATCAACTTATTACAAGAAAGGTAAACGTACCACTTAATAATAAATAAATTTCATAAAGCACCATAAAGTTACTCAGACTTTTAAGTTCCTTTTTACTGCCGCTAGAGGTCTCATCCTTATTTTGAAATGCTAAGCAGTGGCGTAACACAGCCAATTCCGTTGGGCATCTATTTTCTCTTTCTATAAGCAAAGTATACCGACTACGTTTACCGATACCACAGATTAGTACTGTAGTCTCTTACCAATTCAATGCTCTTACCCTAGATTTTTCAACCCGGATAGATGTCCGATTCACAACATTAACCCTGACATTCTGTTTTTTAATTTTTAGGTATCTCCGTCGGAATTGGAGAGTATCATTTTGGATCTTCCGGACATAGCGGATGTTGCAGTAGTTGGTATTCCAGATACATTATCCGGGGAACTGCCACGCGCATTTGTGGTGAAGAAAAAAGACGCGTTAATTAGCGAAAATGAAATTTTGGAGTTTGTGCATGGGAAGGTGGCGCCATACAAACGAATAATGGGTGGAATTAAATTTATAGATTCCATACCACGAAATCCTAGTGGCAAAATATTGAGAAACGAACTAAAAATTGCAAAGTGTACTTAACTTTGGAAATTTGTTGCGATACTTTGTAACGGTAGAAATAAATATACATCTATTTTTAGTATTGTTCGAATGGCATATTTGATCTAAGGTTACTTATTGTAGTCTATGTTCTAAGCTAATAATAAATAAATAATAAAATAACTTTAGTTACTCTCTTTAGACCTTATTTACCTACAGTCATTGATTAGGTAATGCATACACAGAAAAAACTACTACCTAGCACAAGATTATTGATCAACTACTTTTTTTTTTAAATTTTTAACGTGATCATATTAAGCATATACCCCAACGCTACGGTTAGACAACGCATGTTAGTTCTTCGACTTCAACCATTTCGCACAGCCGACACGTAGTAGGGATTTTGACAACCGGATTATCGATTGTTGGTACGCCTTGAATTGAATAACTTTTCGTTTCTGCGCGAGCGCGTCGCAACTTTGTCATTCTGTTTGTAGTGTACTAATGGCCGTTTGCACCGACAAATTTAAGTGGAGCTTAGCTTAAGCGTAGCTTAAAATCCATGACAACGATTATTGAGACAATGGTTGCCATGGAATTTAAGCTACGCTTAAGCTAAGCTCCGCTTAAATTTGTCAGTGCAAATGGGCATTAACCCCCAGGTTCTACGCTAACTTCACACTACAAGAACACGGAAATAAAGTCAACCCGGCAACGTTTAAAAATGGCCACCCGAATGTCTATTCCCTCCAAAACTAAACAAGATCCCGCTTAAATTTGAAAAGTGGCACGTGACAAGGCCCCCTTACGTTAGTTGTACAATTGTAGACAAAAGCACAGTAGGGAAGGAATGTAAAATAAAACACTCAAATTGTGAAAAGTTTGTTTAATAATTATCGCAATTATTATTGATTGTAGAAGCTCGGAAATTAATTACATTGCAAAAATAAAAAATGCGTAACATAAAATGATAACATCACAAAAGTAGCAGGTAAACTTCAAGAGGTAACATATAGGTTAAAAACAAGTTTTGTGAATTATGGGTCAGGTAAGCAGGTACCAAGATTTTAAGAAAGGCTGAAATACACCGGATGTGACTCATCTTTGGTGCACTAAAGTCCTTTTGTTAAAAGCAAGATGGAAAATTACATGGCCTTGTAGGCAAATTTAACTAAAAACAAAATATGTGGAAATTATTGAATCGCCACTCATTTATCGCACATAGATTCTAAACTGAAGAGTTTTGATTAGCGTAATCCCGCTCCTGCAAGATGGATAGCCCGCCCCTGGTTTCGGTTTTTCGAGCCTACAGTTGAATGTCGAAGACAATCGCGGAATTAAGTGTCGTAACTCAGTTTTGACTACCGTTTTTTTTCCGCTTCCGTGACTGCTTCATTCACGGAGAAAATTGTTAGTAACAAACAACAAATCAGTACATAGGTACATCCAACGAATCGGCAATTCCACATATTTAAATAAAATGAGAACTTATATGAATGTTACTTCAGGGACAAGACCAAGTAATCAACATCAATAAACATAAATTAAGCAAGCATTACACCAAACATACATACAGGGTGGAACCTCTCAGTTGATATGCAAAAAATGGAGAAATGGAGCTCTGATTAGCGTAATCTCGCCCCCGAAAGATAGGTAGCGTCGTCCCTCGTTCGGGGTTTCGAGCCTACAGTTGAAAGTCGAAGACAATCACGGAATTAGGTGTCCGTAGCTCAATTTTGACTAGAGTTTTTACCACCCCCGTGACTACTTCATTCACGGAGAAAATTGTTAGTTACAAACAACAAGTCAGTATACATACATAAAAAGAATCGGTAATTTCCACATATTAAAATAAAATGAACAAAAACCTGAATGTTACTTCAGGGACAGACATCAATAAGCATAAATTAAGCACGCATTACACCAAAATTGTAAACAATTACAAACAATAGCATAACGGTATCACACATTTGATTCTGCATTGCGGTTAAACCAAGTAAATTTCAAAAACAAAAATTCAAACACACAAAAAATATAAGTGTGCGTTTACAATGAACGTATACGTAAGAAATACATAAAACGTAAAAATTTCGCAAAGGTGAACTGTATAGAAACATACGAAGGTGTTTACAATGAACGTAATTTTTACGTACGTATATGTAAGCGATATGTAAGTCTTGCGCATAGTCGCAAAGGTTGAAAATGTTTCAAAGTTACGCACGGTCAAATATCATACTACTTGTAGTATGATCTCTGGTTTATTGTAAACAGCGAAGTAAATTTACGGAAACGATACGGATATGTACGAGTTACGGTTTATGAAATATTTACGTATACGTTCATTGTAAACGCACACTAAAAGGTGGAATACATAACACAATTATATACCTAATATAAAGAATTTACTATCTGCACTAAATAACACAAAATAACAACAAACATTTATGGAGCGACGCGTTCACGACCGCCATTCAAGACAAGATGATCACCATCATGTGCTTTGTCTATGATGATCACCAAGATGATCAACGTATTACGTAACTCCTGTTCGTGCTTTTTAGATGGCGCAGGCAGCTTTTTTCCCCCTTCCGCCCCTGGAATTTCCATGGTTGCCAACTCTCAAAAATGTATGTATCGTCGTAAGTTGTATATACAGGGTGGAACCTCTCATGTTATATTTTAACGAAATTTTAAATACAGATACTTCTCATTAAATCGAATCTAGTACATAAACTATGAAATACATGTACGCATGTGCAGAGCTAACTTTTTTTATTGATGAAACGATTTTTATGCAATTTTGATACTAGGCCCATTTGATAAACGCAATTAAACACACTTACAAAAATGAAATGGAAACTCTAGAGCAGACGCGCTGTCGGTGGGGCCAGGGTTCAAATGCGAATATCTCGAGAACTGAATGGCGGAAGTGGGTATTCACAGAAAAAAGTGGAGATCTTGATCTGTTCATGGAACAAAAATCAAATGCTTGGCATGCAACATTCGACCAGGGTCGGATCACTCACCAGCATCCTGTATATAGAATATGAAACAACTAAAACAGGGTTGGTGTTCCTGTTTGTATTTGTATAGTTACTTGAAGTTTGTCTTTTATCGACACATCAATTTTAATAGCTTGTTTTATCAATTTTCAATATTATGAAAAGATAAGCAATATTTCTAATCAATAAAGTTTAAAATTCAATTATAATGTGGCACGAAGCACGCAAACAAGAGCGAAAAATTCGCGGCATGATGGTAGATTACAGGCGTAGAGCTGAACGACGTCGAGATTTTTACGAAAAAATTGTAAATATGTTTTCCCCTTGTAGTATATCCGTTTTAATCGCAAGATATTTCAGAAAGCCGATCCAACACAATTTTTACAATTACACGGTCGACAATGTAAGATACATTTAGATCCAGCAGTCGCGTCTGCTGCTGATAGTACGGCTGCGATGTGTGTATTTTAACTTTTTTCTAACGTCTAACAGTTGGCGGCAAGTTTCTCTTTATTGTATCCTTTTAGGATGCCTTGGCAAGGCGAAATGGATAATTTAATAGATCGCTTTGATGTACGGGCTCACTTGGATTATATTCCTCCTATTAAAAAAGTTGAAGATGAGGAGCTCACTTACGAGGAAAGACAGACAAACTACGAAAGGTATCGAATAATTGCACAGAATTCTTTTCTCTGTATCAGTGAGGAAAAATTTTTAAAGCAATTGCATATGGAAGAGCAGTTCGGCTATACAGAGCCAGAATCGAAAAAGAAGAAGTCGAGCGGTGTGGCTATCGGTTTTAATTACGAAGACGCGACAGGTTTGTACGATTACGACAAGGTAGTCGCATTATTTGCGTGTTATTAGCTTATCCCACGCAAAGTTCAACTGGAAACGCCGAGGAAAATTCAGATGATAATTCGGATAGCGATCTCGATGTCGATTTGTACATTAACGTATCCAAGGTGGACCAGTTTCAAGCGCACGAAATGAATAAGCACGGTTTGAACTTTGGGATGAGTTCTAATGATTTTTACTCATTTTTAACTGATGATATGGAAGAAGCAGAAAGCAACAGATTAGCACGTGAGGAAGAACACGAGAAGGCTTTGTTTTCTGGTCGTAAATCTAGGCGGGAACGAAGGTATAGTTTTTCAAGGTGACGATAGCGTTACTAGCTTTTTGCTTACAGAGCACATAGAGAGAAACGCTTGGCGAATCGGGTTATCAGTCCACCAAGTTACGCTGCTCGTTCATCCCCAACGTATCCTACCTTTCGCGAGAGTAAATCTGCATCTAGATCTCCCACTCCGGATAACACAGGAAAAATTACATACATTACATCGTTTGGAGGTACAAAACAGCCATTATTTTTTTGTAGTGGTATTTCACCTCCACCTTAACCACATAAATATGTGTAATTCATGGAGTCCAAGGAGTAACGAGCTTACATGTGTTGTGTTCACTTTACGATGGGCTACATGGCATTGAAGTTTTGAAAAGTGCTATCACTTTTTTTCATTCATTGGTGCAGATGAACCTTTCGTGTACCTATAGCTTGTAACACTAAATCAGTTTGCATGTTATAGGAAATTGAATAGATAAAAATGGTAGTAACCAAAGCATAAAAAATCTCAACTTGTCTGAATTTACAAACGATAAACATCAAAAAGGGTAATACAACATTTAATTGATTGTTGTACCATACAATTGTACCTTTATGAAATTAAAGTACAGGGTGGTCCGAATTGGACATCTTATGGAAATACTTTTTTTTTAAGAAAAAAATGGGCTCAGGCGTCTGGAGCTCAATTTAATGAGAAAAGCATTGGCGCAAACAGAATTTAGTTATTTCTAATCGTTTGGCCGTTAGGGGGCGTTTCCTGAATTTAGTCAATTTTTTTAATTTTTGCAAAATCTTTCTTAGATCACTTTTATGCAGGTTTGGTTTTTTTATACGACCAAACTACATTTTTGATATGGATGACCCTGTATATTTGGAAGTTTTTGAAGAGCATAAAATTTCCTAAATCTTGAAGGATCACTTGTATTTGTATTAAATATTGCATTTTGTATTGTGTGCCCCGAGGTGTGCCCTATTTAGGTCAGTGCTCGGAATGGAACCGAAACACTGATGTGAAGGTCATATTAATTGTTTCCAGATATGATTTTACTGCATTTTTATATATATATTTTTACGTAAATTTTGCACCACAGTTTCTAACCTGTACAGGGTGGTTCAAATTTGTGGCTTACCTTTGGGGTCTTCGCAACTGTTAGAGGTACTGTACCTCAGTAGGTGAAATGAGATCAAATTTCCCCCTTTTTGTAACTGAAACTTTTGAAAGTAAGTGGGATATCACCAAAAACTGAAAACGTCATATTTCATTTTTATTTCCCCTAGTTTAAACGGTCGAAAATAGAAGGTTCCAGTTGGCACCTTCTATGGGCACTTTTTTTTTAGAACCTGTTATCAGGATTTTCAAAACATGCCAGATGTAGATTGTAGAGGCTACAGGCTACCATTTTGTTATTCCTATGGGCTATGGATCTTTATGGAATGAGATAGAGGACAAAAAAGGAAAAATATGACGTTTCACACTCTACACTTTTATATGAATTTACAAGAAAAATTTCAAAGTCAAATGTTTTACATTCATTTCTCATCAAAACATCCATGGGTAACTAGATGTTTCTGAATCAACATGGCTATGATGGTGATGCATTCAAATGAATTTCTTTTTTTTTCTCTATCATTTAGTAAAAATCCAATATGGCTTCCATAAAATAAACAAAATGGGCGCCTGTAGCTGCTACGTCTAGCGTGTTGTGAAAATTCTGATTTAAATTCTCCAAAAAAAAGTGCCCATAGAAGGTGCTAACGGTAATCGTTCCGATCGTTTAAGCTCGGGAAATTGAAACTGAAATTTGACTATTCAGTTTTAAAGTGATATCTTTGCCTCCATTTAACCTAAAATGTAGCTCTTATAGTTATGGAAATCTTAACGTCAATTTCTTGCTTAATTTTTTACTTTTTTTATATGATCATTATATTACACTGGAAATTAGGAGACTGTGGTACTGCGGCATTGATTTGTGAATCAATTTCAGACATACGCAGACGTACGCCAAAACCCTGTAACATCTATCGTGTGCGAAATCAGTAAAAAAAAACTTGTCTGAAATTGATCACAAATAATTGACACAGGGCCACAGACTCCCGATTTGAAGTGTATATAAAATATCATATGACATGCCGTCACCGATTTTTATTGATTGGTTTTAGTTACCATGGATACAATAAACAAAACTCCATAAATCTACTATTTAAAAACAGTAAAAAAAATAAGGTTTTTATCTCTCGTTCATTGCTAAAATTTAAAAAATGATAGATTATACATCAATATAACTAGGAAAAGGCGCTATTATGGCTAGTATCTCCATCCGCGAGAGGAGGAAGAAAAATCTTTACCATGCGCAATATCAACTTTCTTATTTATAGAGATATTTTTTTGAAATTGTAACCAAAGATTTTTCTAGTAAAGACAAGCATATTGCTTTATGGTTCAGTGGTAGAGCTATAAAACCGGAGGTCGGGTGTTCGAACCTGAGTTGAGGTGAATTTTTTATCTGTGGCAGAGATGGGAATTGCCTTAGACCAGTTTCGAGCATTCTGCCGGCTACTCCGAATTAGGTTTTCTGCAGTTTTCCTTATTCGTAAGCGTGCGGGAGAGGGATAATAAATAAAAATAAAATAAATATTGCATATTATAAAAATCAGATGTGCGTGTGCGCAAACTGCGCAATGCCAACTTTCTTAGCCATAAATTTGAATCACTCTGTATATACCTACCAGTTTTTGAAGAAAAAAGTCTATTTCAGTTTATCGTTGATATGTGCTACATTTTTAATTATAGAAAGTCTAGTGTGTTCAAAATTTGTCCGTCGATCAGTCTGTAGCACGTGTAACTCAGCATAAAGAACTATCAATCTGAAATGTGAACTGATTTCTACTAGTTCAAGTATAAGTATAGAATATGAGGCTGGTGAACAACTCCCTACTTGAAAACTGTATGCGATTCTTCGTCTCATGTCATGTCATCAGGAATATGTACCATGTGTCCTATTTTGTTTGAGATGGTGTATCTCAGCTGTTTTTAAAGGTACGAGCCTTGCGGTTTTCGCCACCCTGTGTCACTTTATTGTGAAATTTTTAATATCACAAACAGGATCATTCTAGCTACGTTTGTTTCTGAGAGACAGGGTGAAAACGAAAAGTTTTACTTTTGGGATGTTATCATATCTTACTACCCAATGTAAGACGAAAGGTAAAAAGTGCTGATTCTAGATATTTTTACATAGAATCCAGTGGCATAGTACAAATGTTTGGACCATCGTTTCTGAGATTTGACCCAAAGTTGGCATTTTATAAATGCAACACCCGTCATGTTTTCCTTCTTCCTGATTACATTGATGTATCATAATATATATTTTTTTAAATTTTAGCCATGAACCAAAAATAAAAACCTTATTTTTTACGGCCTTTAAATAGTAGTTCATGGATGCATGGAGATTTTGATTTTTTTAATTGTATTTATGGCAGCCGATACCAATCAATAAAAATGGCTTATGATAGAAACACTACTTGTAGGCGGAAATACCATTTACTAAATTCATGTCCATTGCATATCCAATATAGGCATTAATCTGGATATCTGCCCATGTAGCCTATTGTAAATTGAAATCTTTTCTATCTGAAAAAGTTTGTTTTTTACGTCAAGAAATCAAAACATTGCAAGTCTGAAATTTGTCAGGTTAACATTCTGGCGTTAACAGCCTGTATAATAATATGCAGTATATCAACAATTATAGATTATATTTAGTGTACTACAGAAAATTCTTATTAGATGATGACGACATACCTACAACAAGTAAACCGAGTTATGCTGATAAACTGAAGCACGGCAAGAAAGGTAAAAAGCGAGAGAGTAGCCGTGATAGAACATTCGCGGCAGATAAGAGAAGACGTAGTTTGAGCAATGATCGCGACAGAAACTACAGACGAAGACGAAAGTCGAGAAGTATCGAATCTAGAAGTCCTCGTTTCAGGCGTAATAGCCGATCTAGGAAGCGGACTACATCTCGAGAAAGGTAAACCACATAGATTTTTACTAAACTATTAATCTTTTGCAATAGGTATCGAAGACGTTCACACTCTCGTTCTCGGGACCATGGGAGAAGATATAAACCGCGAAGATCTTCAACAAGTAGCAGTAGCAATAACAGTCACAAATCGAGGTCGAGAAGTAGAACAACATATAGAAGTACCTCTAGGAATCGATATCCAGTTCGAGCGAAAAGTAGCAGTTCAAGTTCTGTGGCTAGCCCGAACCACAGTTTAGTAACGAGAAGGTTTAATAAAAGTAGAAGTTCGTCTATTAAAAAAGAATCGCCGCCGAAGACTACTGTGCAAAGATATTATGGGCGGAAACGTAGCGACCAAAGTTCCTCCTCAGAATTAGAAGATTTGAGCGATTTAGAAAATGGAAACAGTAAACTTGGTAACAGTCCGTAAGTACAATTTCTCCTCTTAAAGTCTAATTAAATGCGAAAAACTTGAGTGGAAATTCAAAATAGTCTTTTATTCAGTGGCGCACCCAGAAAAAAAATTCGGTGGGGGTTATTGAAATTAGTAAATCCAAAATGTTAACATAAATTATATTTTTAATAAACAAAAGATTACACAGTTACACTTACACTTTGTCCGAAAAAACAAAACAGAACATAAAAGAAATTATTTATGACTAAAAATATTAAGTTAAACTAAGTTTTAATTTTGTAGGTTTCTGTGCGAATTTCTCTAAAATATTTTCCTGAATTTGTCATTCACTTTTAGTGGAAATTACCTTAGTAAGTTGCGATAGTGTTGCGAGCAAAATTCCTTTAATTCTTTAACAAAAGTCTCTCCCAGACGCCATACATATTTAGATATAGTTATTTTCCCAACAAGTGCGCGAAGTTAGTGATTCCGAACCGAAAACAGGATGTTACCCTCGCTACGCTCGTTTTGGTACCTGCTTGAGGTTCGGATTCGCCTTCGCGCGCATGTTAGGAACAATGTTTTTCCTACGATCGTCTAATTATTTTAATTAGAATCGTCAGTTTTGTCACAGGATTTGTCAAGATTTGAAACTGCTAATTTATTGTGACAATCAAGTTGCATGGTTGCTATGGATTAAACATGCAAATTATAGTGCGCGAATTGATCACTTTGAATGATTAATTCATATACGATTGTAGGAAAAGATTATTTTAAAAAAATCTATCAGTGCTTAAATTCGGGGGGGGGGGGGGACCCCCCCTATGGGTGCGCCACTGACGTTATATGGTTATATTCTAGTATTTTAATATTCCTTCCAATATTGATTATATTATAATTATTGGGGGGTGTATACAATCATTATCATTAGTTCACTATCATTAGATCATTACGAAATAGCCAATAGAAACAAAGCTTTATAGTGCATCGCTAACCAACAAAACCATATATTGTTTCTATTGGCTATTCCTAAATGATCTAATGATAGTGAACTAATCATAATGATTGTATAAACCCACCATATACGAATATTACATACAGATTGCTAACTTTACACATTTTAAGGGTAACACATAGATATACTTAAAAGCATCCTTTATTGAAGCAGCAGTATAAACATGTACCGTTTACAACTGTAAAATAACGCTTAAATTGTGTTTGACATTTCAGTGTGTTCTGTCACTTGTTCCTCGTTGCATGTTTCTCCTTCTGGGATAAAAGGTATCACTGTAGTCCCTTAAATGGAAGACAAAACACGGTGATTTAGTCCCCATAGTACAAAAAAGCAATATTCGTTGTGCTTCAGTAATCATTAATGTTAAACTTTAAATCAATTCCATAACCACGATTGAATTTCCTGGTAAATTTTGTATAAGCTGTTTCTTTCCTGTTTTCTATCTAAACTCATTATTTAGGGCTCCTGAAACAATGTTTACATCAATTACCACTAGTAAGGTGAGGTACAGGTTTACAACTAAAAACACTTTAAGCAATTTACATACCATATCAAAAATGTTTCAAAGAAGTTTTTTTCTAAATTGAGTCACTGTAAAGTTTGCTATAGTGACTTTATAGAGACGGTGGCAACAATAGAAATAGTCTAATTTCTGATTGGTTGTTGAGTGATGCCACTTCTGCCCGGTTTGCATTTCTTGACTTCAGTTTCCACATTTTTGGACTAAGTATGTCCAACTGAATTTGAAAACAAGGAATAATTAAGGGTAACGGAACTTCCTCCATAACTCCACAAAACAATTTAAAAAATAAAAATTGTGTGCTTTTTCCTCTCAAGTTTCTCTCATTTATTAGAAATTGTGATCAAATCATACATGATTAATTTTTTGATTTCCAGAAATGCCCTTGAAACTAAAGCGACAAGCTATGGTAATGCAGTCTCTGCCTTCAAAGTCAGTAAGAACCGCCTCTTAACTATTTTAGTTTGAATTTAATTGTTAATAGTTTATACAGTAATTTTCTTAATAAGACAATTTAAATTTCATGTATAACAGACAACTTACACGAATAGTAATCACACAAAGAACGCTTGTAAAATGTAGCGTAATTTACAGAAATCAAGCTCTTCCGTACCGATAGTCGCGTCCACGACACTAAATTTACAGGAAAAATTGAAAAGGAAACGGCAAGCTTTGTTAAATAAGCAATGTATGTATGCCCTCGGAACTTTTTCTTTTTCATTAAGTTAATTGTATGTGTAGTTAAGGCGGACAAATTAGCCGAACAGCTCAAAACTGAAAGGGAGAAGCAGGAGCAGCAGAATAGAGAAGACGAGTTACGCGAAATGGCCATTAAATTAAGGCGACGGTAATTTAATTTATGTACTCATAAATAATTTAAACTGGTGCTTTAATAGGCAAAGAGAAATTCGTCACGCTTACGACAGTCACAGTTCAGACAGTTCCTGTGATTCGGATGATAGAAATAGTACATCTTCTATCAACAGAATCATGAAGAGTCGGAGCGGTAGCCCAAAAGAAGCCAATGAAGAGAGAGCGTCGAAATATAGGGAATCCTCAAGTAAAGATAAGGAAAGAGTCAAAGACAGAAAAGAGACAGATTATCAAAGTGCGACTAAAAGCTGTTCACCCAAACCTTATATTGAGTGTGAAAAACGAATGTATTACAATGACGATAAAGATAGGGATATGAAAAGGAGGAGTGATTACAAAAAGGATAGAGATTCACGCAGTGATTATTATAAGGATAGAACTAGCAGGTCATTGGTGGACTACTGATTGTTTATACTGTAGGTAATTATTTCAAGGTATGTATTTTATATGTAAAGCTTGATGCAAGAATTCCTGTTTTTTTAAAAATAATTATGTGATTATATTGTAATCAAAGCAAATAATAATTTAGATGATGGTGGAAACAATTTTAATGCTAGTAGAATAGCGATTATTTGATGTGTATGATGTAGCAATTAAAATAATTTATCAAACTTGTACCTTTAATTAAAACATCCACATGTATCCTGTCAGCAATGCATTATGTTCTATGTGCTAATTGAACCAAGTTCCATTCTATGGTTGCAGACACCATCTATCGATTTTTATTTTAAGCCATATGGGCCCTTGTGGCGCTACTAGCTTTAGGCTTGATTGCCACTTGTCTAAACCTGAAGCTTCTTAGGCCTTTCTGCTCGAGGCATCTTAGCCAGGGTTGGTCCACTGTCATCGTTAGACACCCTCCTGGTTTCTTCAGCACTCACTATTTCTTATGCAACAAACCAAAGTGCTCAGTGCATCAACGTAAAACAACCCGTCGTACATCAATTACACCGTTCGATCATTAGAATAAAAGCCCAAAACTCGTGAAATACTTCTATTCAAACTAATAAATGAATAATCGTTTCTGTCATGTCAAACGAACTTTTTTTTAATCAATACCATCTTGGAATTGATACTAAAAGCACAGATTTAAATATACTATCTGTGCTACAAGATTAATACTAGGTGTCTCTGACACCAAGAATATGCTCCGTGCTCTCGTTTGTGCTGTCCAGAAAGTAGGTGTTCCAATAGTCTCCTTTGGAACTTCTTTCTCAGCTCTTAGTGTCGCACCTTTCCATGGCTTGATGCTCGTCACCACTCCTTCGAGCGATTATGCAGTGGTCTCATCAGCACAGTTGATCAGCAATCAGCCTGATTTTAACATACAACCTAGGAATTGAGGACATACTGTGGGTTCCAGGTTTCTGATGATTTTAAGGATTCTCTCTTGAAGTACTTTAAGCTCTTCTATAGTGAAGTTCACCTCTGTGTACCTGCCAGGCAGTATCCGTACCTTTTTACCCTCTATAGCCTGTTTATAGGTTGTAGAGGGATTGACCGTGTCCTGTGGAACTTTGTCTGGGTAGCCTCGGACCGGGACCTTTTCTTCTCTTTGCCCGAGTTACCTTGTTCTCTCGGTGGTACGTGCTGTCGGTTGGTTTACTCTGTTGCTTGAGCCGGTTCTACACTATGTTACCTGACAGTACCGTTTCCTTGCAGCACCGCTCATGTGGGGCACGGTCCGTATACTAAACGGTTGCCTCAGTCAGTGCAGTTTTGTGGGCGCGGAGAGAGAGGGGAAGTTCCCGCGTGTGACGTACTCTCACCTGCCGTAGAATTTTCTGACGTTTCTGTATGCTTGACGTTTGTATCATTTCTTATTTTCTTTCAAGGTATTGAATTATTGGTTACCTATAAGTATAAATTAAACTGGGACCGTGCCGCATGTGCCTGCGAAACTTGTGCTTCATTAAGACTGGAATGGATCAACAAATCTACAGGAAAGACAAGTGCAATCCTCCGTGTATTTGCAGGTTGCACTTTTTGCCAATGGCACTCCATTGGAAATTAGATACATCTAGAGAAGAAAGAGTTAGGACAAGGGAACGCAAGCGATTAGTAGAATCACTTCTTCAGGATCCAATTGACTTAACCACTCCATCAACACCATTTAACATTCAACACCAGAGCTCCGTGTTCAAGAAATAAGGTGTAGGTACTTGTACATGGACAAGCAAGACATTAGATTTAGAGCTAAAGCGCCAGAATGGACATCCGGGGCCATACAGAATTAGACATGAAAAAAATTACATCAAAAGCCGTCCAGTCGTTTAGGATAGGAGTTCAGTCACACACATCCTTACAGAACAATTTTATATATCAAGATAATTATGCATGTAATACTAAATTATAAACCTTTCGATTCCTTTACTAGTTTTATTGGTACCTAAACGTATATCAAACGTCGACGATCGTACGTATGCACCGGCCACTGTGGAAATGTCAAAGAAATAAACTACTCCTGATACGATAACAAACACAAATCAAATATGCAAAAATTAATTTTTTTGCATATGGTACATGAGAATTGTGTGGTGGGCGGTGCTTACTGCGGGCTGAAGTACGTCACAATTGGCAGTGCATTTTATTGGTTGTTGGGAAGTGAGGCAACCGTTTAGTCCAATGAATAAAGAATACTACTATTCATTGGTTTAGTCATTGTATATGTACCTACAAGTAGGCCAACGGTCGTTTACTTTTGGACACCACTAATAGATGGCGAGGACACTAGAGTCGCCATTTATATATCTATGGAGTCGCCATACAGTGTCTCTATAAAGTCACTGTAAATCGCCAGATTATTTTGTCAAAAATGTAGCTGTCTGTAATGCAGAGGTCGATAACTAAGATGCGTGTTTAGCCTGGTGCCTAACCAATTAAAGCATAATTTCGCGCGTAGATAATCCGTAAAACAATTCAATGGTAAAACAATGGTTCCAATGAAGTATATACTCTATAATTCAATGTTTAGTTCAGAGATAAACCTACAATTTACGCGTTTTAGTTGTATATAATATCGTCATCAGATACCCCCACTTTATGAGCAATTATAGCGACTAAAGTATTCTGGATTGTAAAATCAATGTTGGTCGCTTTAACAAGAAAGACATCTGTATGTACTATAAAGCGGAAGTGTTCATTTTAGAGCGGTTACATTACCATAGATGGCGTATTTCGTCATTGTGAATTGGCACAGTTTTGAAATTACCGTTGCAGGCCGAAAACAAATGCATTTATTGTTAGAAGAGCGTGTAACGATGGGTTTGTTATGTTAAAAACAATAAACAATCACTAAATATCCAGAGATTCCTGAAACATAAAATTTAAGTCATTAAAAGTCTCGCTATTGCCGAAATGCCGTTCATAATTAAATGTTACGCCAGGTTTGAGCCGAACCAAAATAGACACCCCTTAAATTAAAGCTAATACAGCGAAAGAGACAATATTACGTATTTTGCAAATGTTCGTTGGAACACAGCAGGTATAGGAGATCGGGAAGAATGTAATTTTGTTGGGACGAGTCCCTCGGGGCTTTGCGGTCTTCCCTTTTTGCAAACAGTCCGGCATGGTCCATACGAGCTTAGAATGTGAGATTTTTAGAACGGTTTTCCTGCATTAAGCCGTTTTAAATGCTAGGACAGCATCGGTGGAAATCACGGACGTATAGCATTTGCGAATATTATTGCGATTCTCCTGTTGCTTAATCAAATTAAGGCCACGTGTGCGATAGGGTTAGTTATGCACATAACTTCAGGATTAAGAGTATCTATAGCTACCGATATTTAAAGGAAAGATGTGGTTTCTTAAGTTATCGAATTAGGAAGCTCACATTCTGAGCGTAGATGGCGAGGAAAGGAAGGAGCGTGTTTGCGAATGGTGCTGTCAAGGAGCTCTATGACTCTCTAGAGGCCTCAAGGTCCTGCTCCGTAGTATGGACGAAGCAGGACTAAAAACTTTATCTTACGTTTCTTACTATATCCGCACCTGAGACATTCACATTTATATGAATAATTGGACAAGTTTCCTGTTTATAAATTTCGTTCGGTTTAATATCTGCGTATGCACCTTTGGCTATAAAGATCGCATGTAAATAGCTGTAATATTGATATCTTTCGGTGTAAAGGCGTTTTATAAATTGAGCTTTCTGTTGTCAGTTTCTGATATAAGAAACAAATAGCTGCAGTCCCTGCGTCCCAGTGCAATATCAACCTTGTGCCGCTGCGGCCCATTCAATTACAGGTCCTGTCTTTTCCGATCGGAACCAACTTGTTATCAATAGCTTTTTATTGTTTACGTTACCGTGAAATATTATAATCTTGGTTGTTGCAGGCCAAAAAAAAAAACAACAGGATCCAAACGTGTTTCTACTAGCTTCAATAAGCTAATGTAATCGAATAATTTTAATGATGAAGTATGTTTAAAATATTGTAAGTAGGTAAAGTGACTTACTATATCACCGTTATTGCTTATACAGGGTGGTGGCTTGCGTAACGCATCATAGGGATTTCAATGTAAAATTCATAACATGCGATTATTGGCTCCCCAAATTATTTTAGAGCAAAAATGTATTAAAGTTTTTTGTAGAAAAAAATTTCTTACGCCAAACCACCGTATTAGTTTTTTTCATATAAAGACGGAAAATTGGAAAAATAAAACCCGCATCTTTTTCAATAATCTGCGATGCCATGGAATTTTCTAAAACAAAAAGATATCCAGTTATCAATTAGCAGCAGTTCGAAATTGATTTTATGATCGACTTGATTACTGTCTTGCAGTTAATGGTGACTTATTCGAACATTTATTGTAAATTGTTATACATATTAGGAAACCGTTTCTAGTAATTTGCTCTTTCTTTATGTTGAATTCGCTGTTCTAAATATAATACTTTTTGATAGAATCTGATTTGTTTTATAGCAGACATTCCATGGCATGACTGATTATTGAAAAAGATGGGGTTTTATTTTTTCAATTTTCCGTTTTTATTATGCAAAAAATTTAAAGCTAATACGGTTGATTGACGTAAAAAAATTTTTTCTACAGAAAACCTTAATACATTTTTGCTCTAAAATAATTTGGGGAGCCAATAATCGCATGTTATGAATTTTACATTGAAATCTCTATGATGCATTACGCCAGTCATCACCCTGTATACGGAGGAAACTATATTAGTTTCTAATATTTGTTTGTAGTTGATCAGGGGAACATGAACAGAAAAACTAATGTCTTCATCAGAAGCATCCAGACCATAAATTAACTCATCTGACTAAGACTTAGTTAAGCTAAAGAGTTTGTCGAACAACCTGCGAATGACTGATTAGAAATAAAACCTAAACGAAAATCCACACCAATCCAATATAGTCTTTTTGTGTATACCGATGAGTGAAATAAAAATGCACGTCGCACGCACCTGTATCTCAGAAAGTTTCAATGGACCATAAAATATACGCTGCGTATGCGTGTATCGCTATTAATTAAAAGTCTAGTCTGAAATAACAATAGTCTGAAGAAGCTAAATGGAAATGGTACATCGAAATTGGTAGCACAAAACCATTATTAACGAATTAAAATGAAAAGATCGAACGTTTATACAAAGTAATCGACT